TGCTGCTGTGTGATGTGCCAACAATGCTGTGAAGATAGACAGGCTTAGAATAGAACTGACAAATGAGTTCTATTAAAGCAGGAAGTGCAGCAAGGATGACCTGACCAAACTGAATGTCTGTCATTGTACCTCCCATTTCCATGCTCTGTGTATACAACTGTTTCATACATCTGATCTCCACTTTGACATCAGCCCCTTTCTTAATACTAATCTTGTGTAGCCTCCTCAACATGGTAATCTCTGATATTGTACTGAAGTTTGCGTACATGCTTGTGAGAGCATTCCATGCTTCCTTTGAAGTCTTACTGGTAGCAACATGCGAGACAACCATGGGAGTGCACTGAATTCAGATATTACTGAGCGCTGTCTTTGTAGGCTGTGGGGTGGTACTGAAGGGGTAGCCTATAAGCTTCACCTTGGTGAGAACATCCTAGATTTGAATCTGCCAAGAGAAATAATTCTCTGCACCTTTGAGGGCCCCGATCTTGGTCAATGACATGACAGCTGTCTTGGGTGCAAAGGCCTAGATAAGGTTTGTCAGTGATGTCTTGGGTACAACCCTGAATAGGCTGAGAGAGGGCACTGTGATTAATCTGTGATGAAACTGCAGAGGTGAGTGATCAAAATATAGAGCGCAGGGCTCATAACCTGTTGTGAATCAGATTGTGCAGGCAGGGAATTCACAAATAATCAACAGTAAATTGTACAGATAATACATTGTGTACTTATATAGGTTATCTACTTTCTAATATACTTGGATCAATACTTTGTACACTGAGAAAGCTGAGACAAGGGGAAACATGGCAGGAAGTGAACCAGTGCCAGAGCCGAGAGCACTCTGTGTGCATCATATCTAAAACAGAAAAGAGGACAATGACATCACTGGGTGGTAGCATTCAATGCAGGCTGCAATGGATGCTACCACCCATGTAACTGCGGGAACATGCCTCATTACAATAGTTACAGACCATTTTATAGTATAATGAAATCTCTGAATGTATGTATTGTTGATGGTTCTCACTCTCACCATAAGCATGTCATAGCCTGAGCAAAGGCTTGATCATATAGATCTCACCACTCTGCCACCTTCTCCAAAAATGCTATCATGGCAGATGAAGCTCAAGATACCTGCTACAGTACACTCACTGCTTTTGGCCTTGCCGGACACACCAATTGATGATTTTGATCTTGCTGACCAGGCTGCTAAGTCAAGTGATGAGTCTGTCTCTCACAGGTCTCTCATCATCCAGAAACCTTCCGGCACCACAAAAGACGTGGGTCGGACAAATAGTGGTAAAGCCCAGCAGATACAACAATGCTGATTGGTGTCGGTGAGATGACAACAGCAAGAGCAAAAGCCCTATTGAAACCTAAAAGGCAGCTAGAAGCATGATGGGAGTCAAGGGGGAAAAGGCTGCAATGACGCAGTTGTAGCTTTTACTACCTGGTACATGCAGTACTGTATAATAGTTACAAGTGCTGCAGGCTGGCTAAAACAGCAAAATGTGCTACTAACAAATGTAATGTCAGACCGGCTGATCGGCTGATCTGACCGCTGACCATGACCCTCCAAAGCAGCTGGCCGGCTGTGTCTGACTCCTGACCAGCCATTTTGGTTGTATGACTACAGTATTTTAGGTCACCACTGTAATGTAATTAGCCAATAGTGATTTGACTGGCTCGGCTTCAAGCCAGCAAGCAGGCCAAGCCAAGCCAAAGGGTGCCAGCTTGAACAGGTTTTTGGCTTGGCTTGCATGTCAAGCCAGCCAAGCCAAGCCGGCAAGCCGCAGCTTTGGATAATAAATGTACTGTATTTAGTACTACTGTTAGAGTAATCAGCAATAAATCCCTCAAATATTATACTGTCCTGTTCTGTCCTGTATGTATCTATTTTCTAATTTACATGTTTTTTTTGCTGAGACTGAGCCTCACCAAGAAAAAACATGGCAGAGCACATAGCAGGGTGCCAGCACTCAAAACAATGATGTCATTGGGCAGTAGCTTTCATTGGTGCCTTCGTTGAAATCTACCACCCTATGACATCATCAAAAACTTGGTCAGCATGTCGATAAATATATACCTTTCCCTGTTGTAATGAAATGCGAAAATGAAAGTTGCTCTACTAAGTATAGACCAATGTCACGGTCACCAAGTGACAAGCCGTGTTCAGGACACTTCGGGCTGCCCCATGTCCATGTGTCTGCCAGCCGTGAATGCTAATTACATATTCGCTGCCTGTGGTTCTGCCCAGAGTCCATGCCAACAACAATGACATAGCTCTGTCATCTTTGTTCATGCACTCTGCTGATCTTTTGAGAGGTTTCAAGTAGAGATGCCGTGGTTTGAGCTTGGTGAAGCCGTAGCTTGACTGCAACAGCCATAGTCTGGTGAGCAGCTCGCCGCATGGCAAGCAAAATTTGTCTGTCATAAAGCGCAGTCTTGACAAGGCTTCAATACAGCACTAGAGCTGAGTATCTTCTCAGATCTGCCTGCCATGCCTTCACAGACTTCTGCTAATCCCCCAGCTCACAAGCGCATCCCTGAGCTTGCTCCAAAGCTTCTCCAAGCGCATAACCCTGGAGATCTCGACAAGCATCATGCGAAGCTTGTGGCAAAGCACATGAATGCTCAGAGGGATGAGACTGCTTTCTCTTTGCCTCAAGCTACCGCTCCAACATCGCTAATCGAGACGAGCTTGGCAGCAGATCGCAGGTTTGAATCCAGCGGTGTAGACGAGGTAGAAGACACACCATCTCACCTTGCGACAACCAGTATGTTACCAAACGATTACTTTCTCAAATTCCTCCGTTTCTAACATGTTTTCCAGAGGGAAAGCATCGCTTGATTTCCTCTGGTTCAGAAGACAATGCATCTAATGAATCAAGTGAAATCGAGCTATTGAGTGAGCCCCTGCCTCTGCAGAACTCAAAGAGCGGCTCCCTCTCTGGGTCAAAGACCAGGAAAATGAGTAAGCATGCCATCTCATTGTTCATTCTACTGCTTACCATCTCGTTTTCAGAAGCTAAGAAGGCCAGGTTTGACACGAAGGCGCAGGAGAAGGCGGCTTACAATGAGGACGGCTTTCTTGTGGACATCGTTGTCCAAGAGATCAAGCCAACAGTTCAGGCTATAGACCCTACAAATGCATGCAAGGATGTTGACCACTTCTTTGCTCCAGCTGAAAAGCACTTGGGAAGGCAGGGAGAGCCCAGCAAGAAGCACAACAAGTGCCTTCAATGCAAGTAAGTTACTTCTGTGCTCTCCAATTCAGATCTTTCAAGCTCATCACGAGTGTAACAGAGAGTGGATCATCTCAGATATAACCAATCTGCAGCGCCACATAGAGACGAAGCATTTGGTATGCACCATGTCCTCTTCTCTTCATTCAAAAGCTTACCTACTCTCAGGCTTTGTTTCGTGCTTGAGCAAAGAAGAATAATTCCGAGTCCAAGCTTCGTGGAGATATTAACGAGCGCAAGGCATCCCTTGAGACCATCAAACTTGAGCAGAAGACGCTTGACACCCATCTGCAAGATATGCCAAAGGAGGAGAGGGTTATCCACTACTCTGAACTTGTCTTCAAGTGGATTGCCGTGGAATGGCTTGCTGAGACAGACCAGGTGCGCAGAGATAGTGCATTTTCTGCTGTTCTCAAGGTTAACATTTTAATTAGCCAATTGGTGCTCTGGAGCACCCTGCCTTCCACTGCAGGCACAAGCTACAAATAGTGTCAAGATCCCAAATCAAAAAGCTGCTTGCAAGGAAATCCTGGAACGCTTCTATGAACAGATGGCAGGTCTCAAGGCTCGCTTTGCAGTGAGTTTAAACACTGGAACTATTTTAAGATATCACTTTAATATGACTTGTAGTGCGACACTGTTACTGGTGAGATTAGCCTCACCTGTGATGCCTGGCAAGCCTTCAATCTGGATGCCTACTTTGCGGTGACTGGCCACTTCATTGAGAAGCAGAGTGATGCCAGCTGAAAGCTCATTAGCTGTCTAATTGGCTTCACTCATCTCAACAATGCGCACAACGGTGAACGACTGGGGCAAGCTCTTTTCAAAGTGGTGGATCGTCTTGGTATCGCCTATCGGGTAAGCCAGTGCATCTCAAATACCTTTGAAGTACTCAGCTGATTCTTGTTCCAAAGATCAGACATATAACCTGTGATAACACCTCAAACAATGGCACGATGCTTGACGAGTTTCACAGCA